TCCACGGAGTAAGGTGATGTCAAGAAGAATGCAATTTCCTGGTATTCACTGTTCACCAAGTACGGTCTCTCAATTAATAATATTTCACACAGTTCATTCAAAAATAATTGATAGAGGGAAGCGTTAATTACAATTACTTTGGTCGGGCAGTTGTGGTAACCACTTGCGTACCACGTTGGGCCGACATAAGCAAAGACCACGTCAAAATATCCCTGAGTTTCCTAATGCAATTCCAACTTCAGATAACTAGTGTAACAAAATTATCCGATGACTGTCGTGCATCTGGTCGTACGTTAACGGTACTGATACATCCAGCAGCTGAAAATCAGTGCTGCATGCAGCATCACGTCCCTCAACTGTTGCCCAGCGAGACTTCAATTTTCCAATCTTTGATTACTGGGTAATTGTTTGCACAACAATTATCACGTTGATTGATTAACTAACTATTTTTTTTCCCTGAATAACTCCTGACTTTTCGTTTATTTTGTATTCTATTCTCGTTCAACGATTCGAATATTCCGACTGGAATCATTTTTTTTCACTCTCAACAACTCGATCGCAACAAAACTGTTCCATATATTTTTTCCCCTTTATTTGTATTTTTAATTTCATTCATTTTTTTCGCCGTTTTTCATTCTGTTTTTCATCTGAAAATTTATGAATTTTAAAAGTCCCTTTGAGGTACGTAAAAAAAATCCCTGCGGTGGGTATACACCGAGTGTTTGACTGAACGGATTGAGTCAAATTGCCGGTAAAAACCTAGCCTTCAGATACACGGGCCGGGGGGAAAAATCTAAAAAAAAAAAAAAAGAAGCTGCCAGGGGTAGATGTAACGGGGGAACTAGAGTCGTCCAAAAAGCACTTTCCACCCCAATTCGGCCGGCGGTCACCAAACTCATACTCACTACAAAAAAGAGTGTGTGTGAGTTGCCCTCGGTGCTCGCCTTTTTCCGACTCAAACTTCTCTCTTTTCTATACTCGGCCATTTTTACGACACAGTTTTATGACTCGAGAGTGAGTTTAACCCATTCCACTACCTACTTCATACAGTCCTTGTCGGACTTTTCTCCCCTCGGACAATACAAAAATCATAGCCAATGCTCTTCCCGAGAGTTATTATACATCTTCATGGCAACGAATCCTCGATGAAACTGGGACGAACGGTTTTGATGGGTGAAAAGAGCTTTGATTTTACGCCCCGGGTGTTTGCCTTCCTCGAAGATCGTGAACAGAAAAAAAATTACGGAACAAGTGCCATGAAAATCGCGTAAGAATTACGATGGGAAACATAAAATAGATGTACCATCCGAGTTATAATAAAAATCGTTAGTTTTCTCGGGCATTTTCCGAGAAGGATAACGTCAAAAATGTTAATCATTCCCGACCCGGAAAAACTCGGAAAATTTGTCCGTCGAGATTCAATTTTTATTCTGATAAAAATAAAAGGTCTATTCGAATTCGTTAACATTTCTGCGGCTGAAAGGCAATATTCAGCTTTCCCTTCGATTTCTCTCGGGTCTCTGTAAAAATAATAAAAATAGTCATTTCAACTGACGATCACGTGAGCTGCCATGTACACGCAGAGAATTGTTTATGAAAATTCTAGTACTAGTGCTGGTACGGGGAAAATCATAATCTTCATGGCAGCGAATGCTCCACAAAACTGGGACAAATGGCTTTAATGGGTGGGACAGCTTTGATTTTACGCCCCTGGACATCGTGCATCCCTTTTACGTTTCGGAACGTAATTCTTATGCTATTTTCATCGTATTTTTACCATAATTTTTTTGGCTTTTCACCAGAGGCGTAAAATCAAAGCTCGCATGCCCATCCAGACCACTCGTCGTATTTCTCTCTCGCATTTACTGCCACAAAGATCATGATTTTTTCAATGTTACCAGATGCGTTCGAATTTTCTTATTTCATTACCAGCTATCAAAAAATTTTCCACCAACGAAATAAAAATTCTAAAAGCAAAGGGGAATATTTATTTTTAGATTTGGTTTTACTCCCCGAAGTTGGAAGAACTCGGAATAAAAAAATGAGAATAATTACAGCAATTGCATCGGGTCAGATGCCTGGGGGTGGATTTTTCGTGAAAAAAATAAAAATCCTAGAGTGAGTGAAACATTCTCTTGTTACTCTCTAAAATCTCATCTGGAGCGTCTTCATCACCTTCTTTTTCACTTTTCATCCACTCGGTTTACCCACCCCTCAAACTACCGCGATTACCCCACCCCCATATCTGAAGTGACTAAAAACGATCGCGGGAAAGTCGCGTTAATTAACTCTCGACGAGAGGAGAAAATGTAATCGTCTCGTATTTTTATCTGCCATACTTAACCCCAGGTCCAGCCTCATCTACTCTAGGACTTCCATATAAACCGGAATCCGAGGAGTCTGTCGGTAAGAGCTTTCATCTCGAGTGACTTGGACCAGAGTTGGCCAGAGGTCAGCACCAGGTCGAATATCCCGAGCTTTTTTCCCTTGCTGGGGGGTTGGGAGGATTGTCTCAGGACCGTGGATTAATCACACCCTTGTCCACCAACCCGCCCCTCGGATTTTTCATCAGACAACTGACCCTGAGATCCGAAAAGTTTCAGGGTCGGGGAGGAGAGTGACGAAAAATTCGATTTCAATGACATATTGGTTACTCCGCCGATTTGATGTCATCCCCTAATATTTCCCGTTGAAAATATTTCAACAGAATTTTAACAATTGATCATTCTCTCCATGGAAATGAATTGATGAGAATGAAAAATTTGGAGATCTATCGATTACGAATACGAATTCAAAAAATATTCTTAATTGGCTGAATTTGTATATAATGCATTAACAATCGGTCATTACGCCCTACATGAATTCCAATTAATGAAAAAAAAATTCCAATGATTGGGATCGTTGGGAACAGCTGAATGAAAAATATTTGAAAAAATTTGTCCCGAGTTGCACTGGCAAAAAATTATTTGTAGCTATTTTAGGAATTTTATTGTTTCAAGTGCTTGACAGTAGTTCTTTTCCAATGGAATATTAAAATTTTTCAAAATTTCGAAGAGATCGGTCCTGGATTTCATGAAATTTTCCAGACATTAGTTGTCATTCCGATGAAAATGACAAATTATTTTCCACCACAGTAATCTCACGACTTCCACAGTCCAAAGAGGCATAACCGACTCTCTGGAACAAGAAACGAGAAAAAAGATAAACCATTCAATTTTAATTGAATTCATGCAACTGCACCGGTCATACGTCATTCCTGTCGTTTGACTCCGATTTTTGTTCACTCGTCCTCCAATAAACTATTTACCATATTTACAAATTGCTCTCTCGCAATCTATTGACTCAATTATGGAAAAAAAACATCTCTATAGATTAAAGCGTCACGAACTACGTGAATAGATTTTTTTTTTGTTTTGTTTACTCTTTTCGTCCCATGCAAACATCAAGTCTGGGCAACGTTCCGTAAAATGTACATTCGATTCTGCATGACAATACACCATATTCATCGTCAATCATGCAGTGGGAATTTTCACGATAAAAATTCTTTATTTGAAATTCGTCGAATAATTCCCAGAGTTGATCTCCCACGGGCAATGTCCGCTGTGATCGATATACGGTCACTTGCTTCAGAGCCAGTTGGCACTATTTATTCCCATTCAATTTTTTACCCTCCAGACTGTTTATTTAACAATCCGTAACACCAAAAGTATATATATAATTGCATTCAACTTTGATTAACTATTTAAAATACTTTGTATCCGCGCAATAACAAGAAATTGTGGAAAATCCGATCAGATCAATTTTTTATTGCCAATGATTTAATGTAAAATTCTATTATTCAGTTGAATCTTTTGAGAATTTGAACATACGCAATGGAGTGTGATTTTAATCTATTTCCTCTGTTGTAATTTAGTTGAAAATTCAAAAGCTGTAAATATCGTAATCTGACCCGAGGGTGAACTCTCATTTGTCGTGAATATTTAATAGAATTCGGTGTTTCATGTTGAACGACCATTAATATTTCGAGAAAACTTTGCATTTTGAACTTCATTATTAGAATGGAATATCAAATTCAATTGGATTTTCAATGCATTGAGAATTGAGAGGAATAATAGCCTGAAATTTCACAATTTCCAATGATCTTCTGTCTGGCATGCACCAGAGGAATATAATTTCATTGAATATTCAAACAAATTTCCTGTGTTTTTTTAAATAATCAGTCATTTCATACGCACACGAAAAAAATTCAAATTCTGTAAAATATATCTATATACATATATACTTGAGCGTACATTTTTTCCATGAAGTCATTGACGATTTCCAGTGAATCACTGGCTCTGGCAATCGACAAAAAACCACGAGAGACCGATAACGGAAAATCTGCATAGACCCGCAAATGCTCTTCTGGCCATTGATTCGATAAGGTCAGAGTTCATCAAGGCCGAGGCAGTTTCCCGCCAGTTTTCACCACAGAATTTCCTCGGACGCGCGGACGCGTAATTAGCCGATCTAACACGATTCCAGGAGCCAACTCCATCGCCGTCCCTCACCCCTGGTGAATATACAGCCCTACGTGACGACGAGCCTTCGCAAATTCTATGAATAGTCACTTGCTCTGACAATTATTTCCCAAACTCGATTGCCAACGACGTAACCGCAATTACCGAGTCGAGCTTGAGCTTAAAATTTCACCATCTCTCTCATTCAGTGCTCTTGAAACGGTCAAAATGCTGGAGAGAGAGAACGAGAACTTCTTCAAACCTGGTGCACCTAACGCTCAATATCACGAGCAATATTGCCTTTAATCAGATTCACCAAGGGCTGGCTTTCGTACCCGATTGCAAATCCCATTCCCTTACCCTAGGAATCTCTTCCCCTTTCTGTCGACCCCTCTATCTAGCCATTCCTATCCCCCACCCGTTCAACAAATCGGTGGAGGGGAACGATAAAACATCCAAGAAGAACAGTTCAACCACTAATTGTCGTACCATCACCTGTCACTTGGTACCCAACGCTCGACCACTTGCAGTCTTGCTCTCCTCCACTTTTTCTGGTGAAATCCAAATTATACACTCGTCCAAAAAATATTTATGATTTTTGAGAAACATTTATTTACTTGTGCCACGAAATTCGCGACTTGAGAATTATCAAGCGCACGATATCTCCGGGCTCGGACTTTTCAATTAATTGATTTCATTTTATTTCGGGTGAGATATCGTTTTTTTTTATTTTTTAATAATTCGGTTTAATATAATAGTGTAATAGTGATCCGTGGAACAGTGAAATCAGTTATTTGTGATATGGGGTGAGAGCATTTTTGTTTGATTTTTAGTGCGCGCTGTAGCGAAAAATTTTTATTGCAAAATTTTACACTAAAAGCTTTTTCATCAGTACTATTGGTCCGAATAATCTGAATAATGAATATAGTTATAAATAATTGATATAGAAAATTTACGGATATTTATGATGCACCAGAGTAAAGCATATCCACAGTAAATTATTTACTGGGAACTAACCAAGTTAATTATTCAAAATTCAATTTTCTATTTTCTGCGGTCCACGTTTCGCCAATGAATATAAATAATAATATCTAAAAAAAAAATAATGTTGAAGTGAAAAAATTTGCATGTCATCGAATTTCCGGATGCCATCACTGAAAATTGTCTAATCCCAGAATTTTTCGCCGTGCAAGTGAAAACGGATGGAAATTATTACCGAAATTTTTCACAAATATATGAAATATCCGTCATGTCCAATTGAAGTTCCCCAAAAATCCCACCGGTGATTTGAGAAGAAAAAAAAACTTGTAACAGTCACACAGAAAAGAAGAGCGCGGCAAATTCAAATTTTATCGCCGACAAAATTGATTTCACCTAAACTTCTCGTGGAAAAGTGATTGTCCCCCGAAGAAAACCCATCCCTCTCCCCTTCTCAATACTCTTAAGCCCCTAACCCCAATATTTCATCATCCCCCAGGCAATATTTCATCGCTGCCAATTTGTGTATCCTCCTGACTCTGCTAGGATCAAGTACACCAACAAATTCTACCGAAAATAATTCTTCCAAGGAAGAATGGGTGGTGCGAGTGGCAGGTGGACCTCAAGTGGCCTCTCTCCTTGCCCTCCGATCTGGCTACAAAAATCTGGGTCTCGTAAGTAAAAACAAAATCTTTAATCTACCGGCCAATCCATTTACCCCCACCACCCAAAACTCCAAATGGCAATCCGCACCGACTTGACGAATTTTTCTGCTCCAATTTCAAATGTATGTCAATAAAATTCGTAGAAAAACAAATATTCATGAAATTATTCATTAATATAACTACCGCTTTGCCACTCCACTCCTGGAATTCTCCTTTTCTACTAAATCCCTGAGTGATACGTTTTTTTTTCCTTCAGTAGATCTTTCCCCCCACAATTACATTCCCCCAGTCCTGGAGTTAACCCCATCCAACCAGTTGCTGAAATCTAATGTATTTGCCGGTGGAATTATGACTTTGTCAACAGAGTGTCTACGGTTTGTTGGAATATGGGCAAAAGTCGAGACCGAGAAAACTACCCCCCGATGCAATTAAAACTTGAACAACTGCTTAATAAGTCAGTCAGTTTTGTAGCGATTTCCCACCGAGTTGGGGTAAAATGAACTTGTGGATAACTTCCTCCAAGTTTTCCGTAGCATTTTAAATTATACAATAATCGTAATTCACCTGAATGACGACGTCTGATAAAGCCAACGAGAAGAATGGATCGTGAAAAGGGAGAGAGGTAGGCAAAAGCCTCGGAAGAGGACGTGAACAAAATGAATTGAACAATTCTCGCTGCATAAAAATACATTTCAACTTTTATTATCGTCAACGTGAATTATTATCCCGTTCGCCCCAGTATCGTCACACAAGCTGTACCGCGTAAAACCAGTGGTGGTGGGATAAAGGGGGAAGAAAACGGCAAGATAATCCGATAAGAGTCAATATATTTCCAAGTGTTCGCCAAACACACCGGAAATAAGTGCGCATATGCCGTTGGATGAGTATCTGGATGACGTACGGTGTCGTGTATTCTACATTCTATCCTATGAAAAAAAAAATGTATATATATATATATGCAGATATACATCCACCTCCTCCAAGTTTCTGCCTTTATGTTTTTCATCCAACGAAATGAACAACAGTAACGCGGAACAAAAGAGGAAGAATTATATTGCAAGAAACGAAATGGGTTTTGTGGAGGGGTAACAAAAAAATTCACAAAAACACAAGAGAAATAACACAAAGTGCAGGATATGTTTTGCTGGCATCAAAGATCTTTTGGATCACACTTTAATTCCAACGGAAAAATTCCAGTGGGATTCAGTGACCGGAAGTAAGGAGGCACTTCCGTCGAAACTTCCCTTAGTCGTTTCTCGATTCTACGGGGATATAAATTGAGGAGTATGAAAATTCTACAAAACCAGGAGAAACTTTCATTGTTAAACATCAAGTGCCTGTGTGAATACCCAATTCCGGTCGAGTCAATAACAATTACGGTAATTGTTCATATTGTATGGAGTACATTCCCCCAGTGATTGCAGTTTCAATCACGAAAATATGAAAAATTCGCCGGTATTCATCACAATTTGTATTGAATGGAAATAATTTAAGAGTTAATTCCATAATTACAAATAACTCGCGTTAATTATGAATTCCAGTGCTGTTCGTCCGTTGCGCTTTAAATTAATTATATTTTCTGAAAATTATTCGATTTCGGAAATTCCAGCTGTAATAAAATCATTCCAACTGTTCATCCCAGATAATTTTATTCAGAATTCAAGTGTCATAACGAGAGGAAAATCCCATAAATACATGGATCTCTAATTAATCTAAAATTCATCCAAACTTTTCATTCCAATTATAATTTATTCGTCAGAAAATACGATATTCCTGGAATTTCCACAAAAAAAAAATATATCCGCCAATTTTTTAAACGTTTCCAATTCGTAAAAAATACATAAAAAACACGTAAAAAAATATATCTTCTTTCAAAACTATAAATCGTGCGAGTTAAATTTTTTTTTCCATCCCATCGTCAAAACTCAAGGAGAGGTTGAAACTGGGGTGAAAGGTAGACGCAGTGGGACAACCCCGAGACGTTAGAAATGTTGGCTCCGACGTATAGACTCGAATCCCCAGGAGACTAGGATGTCCGAGTGAGCGACATTCGTAGCAGCAGGAGGTTTCATGTCGGCCCGCCAACATCAGGTTGACTAATACAATTATGTCCGTAACGTTAACCCCTTTCCACCCTGAATCCCTCGCCCTCACCCCCAACAACATCGAAAGAGCGTGACTACGATGCAATCAGCCCCTTAATCTTTTCCTCGTGTTCTCTCCGCCCTCCTCCATAAATTTACATTTTATTTCGTTTGATTCAATTGAACATCCATCCATCACTTGAAATGAACAAAACACATAATCTTAACATCCCTTATCCGTCTGTACGTCTCCCCCAGGTCGTAATAAAACGAGGGCGAGTTCTTGAGAATGAGGGAAAAACGTAATTAGCGTCATTCCAGGGTGAATGAAGACATTAGGCTTTTCATTGGCAGACAGGAGACAGGTGGGGGGAAAAAGGGGTGGAGTGGGGAGGTGAGGGGGTTAGGGAGTGGAAAGAGCCCTGGGATTACGCCGAGAGACAGTTGGAAATCCGATCAAAACAAATGGACTGCGAAAATACCCGATCCTCCCTACGGCGTTTTCTATACCTCCCATCCCTTTTTTCGGGCTTCCATACTGATCTCATATACATACAAAATGCTCATCTCATTCTAGGCTGGTCCCTCTGGACCTGCCACTGCCGAGAAGACACAATCGGAATACCGATAAGATGAATCGCTAGCTGATCGCCAAGCAATGACTTTGCGCCACCGAGGAAGACGCTTTACGGATTTTTTTTTTTCAGCAAGTTTAGTTTTTCGGTTTCAGTTCCAATGGTTTTTCCTCGGTTCAGGGCCAATTCCATGGGAAACAGGGCGGAACAAGACGGTGCTATTTATTCTGAAAAAATTCAATGAAAATTGAGTTAACAATGAATTCGGAATGAAGTGAATACCAGGAGGTGAATACCAGGAGGAAAAAGGTGTCCCCAACTTGAATGAAATGAACCTCGATGGAGTGCATTCATCACTCTCACTCCTGCAGTCATCAAGCCATACACGAGACATCCACCAGGTGGTGGTCCCTAGCACCGAGGGTGTTTCCATAATCGGAGGCCCTACAAAAACCACACGTGACACGTGGCGCCTGTAACCGCTCGCTCATTCATGATACAATAATGATGTGATCCTAGAGTGTGAATTTTCGGGTTGGTTATATATCCTGGGGAGGAAATCAACGTGCCACCAGCTGACTCCTCGTGGCCTCCTGGTCAGAGCGTCCCCCTCTTGGGACTCGAGAGCCAGAGCGTCGGGACGACCCCAATGCAAAAACCAACCCCCGATCACGAGCGTATCACGGGGAAAACCCAAGGCAGCAGCTACGAAAAACTCAGACCAAAAACATGGTCTCATTTAGTGTTGATTATTAATTATCAGGGCAGCTACACTGAATCTGATTCAGAGGAGAAAAATCTGAGAAAGTGAAATTTCACTGGTAATGCGGGAAAAATTGAAAAATTAATTAATTAGCGGAAAGAGGAATAGGAAATATTGTATGATTTTCTTATCCACTGGAAATCTAAATTTTCATTTTTTTCAGGTCGAGAGTAATAATTGAAGATATTCATTAAAAAATGGAATAATAATATTTTATTAATTATTCTTTTCAGAGAATGGTGAAACTGATATTCATATTTGTCATTGATTTTTCCGCGGAATTTTCATTTATTAATGATAAAATTTCAATGATATATTTAACCCGAAATTTTCTCAGTCCGTTTTGAGTAGATTAATATCAGGATCGATGACTTTTTCAGGTACTCGGGTTCAAAGACACGTACTTATGGCACAGGGATGATAATCAGGTTGGGAAAAGAGGCGGTGGGCGGTTCGTGAAAGAATTGACGTCAAACTCTAAAGTAAATGCATATATATATTTTAATCATGACTTAATTTCTCTAGAATATTAATTGTTGCTTTTAATACCAAATAAAATTCCCGGAATTTACGGGAAGGTTTCATATCGATACTTCATTTCGAGAATTCATCACTTCATTGAATTTTTTAAGGACACGTGAATATTCAGGAGAAAATTACACTCCACTGGAAAAAAATGGTAGGAATTACTGCCATGAAGAATAATTGAGTCCTTTTATTTTCTATAATGCAGATTATTTGGGCAGATCAGCAGAGGAGTGTCGAGCGTCACAAGCGAGATCTTATCGATATTCTAGAATCGGAAAAGCCACTGCTGCGAGAAAAAAGAGTGTTCGATAATGAGGAGAACGATATTGAGATCCATTCAGATGTTCAACACATGTTCAATGACGAATTGTGGAACGAGGAGTGGTATCTGGTAAAAATTCCACTATTTTCCTGTCCCACGACAATTCCCCAGAATTTCCAAAATTCCTGAGACTTTTCACGAAATATTTTCGTCGAAATTGAATTTATATAATTCAAAAAATTGAAAACAGAATCTACTTGGACCAAACCCAGTCCACTAATTAATAAATATTTATGACTGAAAATTACCTGAATATTCGGAAAATTATATAATAATTCATCACTGCAGAATTATCAAAAATTGCAATGATTTTCATCCAATCGAAAATGGAATCTATATATTTCACAATGAAATATAAGAGTCAAAAATTTGAATATATTCGTTTAAAATAAATCAGGTTCCCCGAAAGCAAGCGCAAGCGATAAAATAAATGTTGAGCAGATTCAAGTATCCTTTTTTCCGTGAAGTGACCTCTGTTCTTCCTGTCCCTGAACCCAGCAAGACACACGAACCAACCGAGACCTACCAAAGCTGGATCTGAACGTGGTGCCACTTTACCGATTGGGGATAACAGGTCGAGGGATGAGGATAGCTGTTCTCGACGATGGGCTAGAGTACACACACTCAGACCTGAGGAACAACTACGTGAGCTATTCGATATATCCCGATGACAAACCGACAGACGAGAACGAATTCCCCAAAAATATCGATGAAATTCCCCAATTTACAATTTCAGAGTCCAGATATCAGCTATGACGTCAATGACGGCGATAACGATCCACTGCCCCGGTACGAAGTAACAGGTGATGATGCTCCACCTCTCTTATCTCTCAAAACTGAATTTACCACAAAATAGGATACGATGGACGAGTGGGAGTTGAATGCGCGATTTGATTAGATGAACGAGTATGAAATAATCAATAATATCCTTTGATTTATCAATTCCCAAGGGATGAATGGACATGGGACGCGGTGCGCAGGGGAAATAGCCATGGAAGCGAATAATCGGAAATGCGGGGTTGGGGTGGCATTTGAGGCGAAAATTGGAGGAATTAAAATGCTTGATGGTGTCGTCAATGACAGGGTTGAGGGTGAAGCCCTAGGGTACGCACAGCATCTCGTCGATGTCTACACCGCGTCCTGGGGACCTGCGGATGACGGCAAGAGCCTCGAGGCACCCGGAAGACTCGCCACTGAAGCACTTCAGCGAGGTGTCACTGAGGTATTTTTTATTGTACTTCGCTGCAATAAAATTATGCTACGTAAAATGCTAAATATGAAAAAATCGTCCCCTAGTTAAATATAAAAATTATTACCCCATTTCATATTCCAAATGGTAATGAAGCCTATTTATGATAGATTCCCTTATTTCCTGAAAGCTGATGTAAAAATCTTTTAATGCGACACGTCACTCGTTGAATTAATAAAAAACTATTCCAGTACCTGAAGAAAAAATCTTTACATACATCTCTCATCCGTCATTTATTCATGATGGAATAAAAGTCCCGAGAAGTGGTGGAGTTTGAGCCGTACCAGGGGAATTTTGTTGTGTAGCTGGGGGAGAGAAAAGTTAGATTGAGTGTCAAGAGCAGATGCATATGGCGAATGCCATCCGGAACATCTCGAAGAAAGGAAATTTACAGTTGAATTATCAGAGAAATAGTCACTCGAAATTGCAATGAGCTTTATAGGAAAATTGTAAATGCAAAAGTATAATTGTTTTGAATTATTTTAAATGTCTCAGGGGCGAAAGGGCAGGGGTAGCATTTACGTATGGGCATCCGGCAACGGTGGATCCAAGGATGACGATTGTAGCTGTGACGGTTACGTCGGTAGCATTTATACTATTGCTGTTGGTTCTGCCAGTCAAACTGGAAAGTTTCCATGGTACGGTGAGAGATGTCCAGCAACTCTTGCAACAACTTACAGCAGCGGAGCGTACCACGACCAAATGATTGTAATTATTCACTGAGATTTATTATTTAAAAAGTTGGACAAATTGGATGGCTCTTGTTTTATTTGTCTGAGGGGGATAGGATGTTTGTTCTCATTTGCGTTCAGTGGATTTTTTTTTCTCTTTCTTTGCCACTGGACAGGCCACCACGGATTTAAAAAATGAATGCACCACTCGTCACACGGGAACGTCGGCTTCAGCTCCACTCGCTGCAGGAATACTCGCCCTGGCACTGCAAGTGAAGTAATATCCTCCTTTTTTCACGACATACTGTCAAATTATTCTTCTTTTTACCCCGAGCAATTATTAGATTTTTTTATTTATTTTTGGGTCATCCGCTGGAACCGCGAAATCCAGGAAAATTAATTAGTCTCCGTTCTTTTTTCGTTGAATCAATTATGTCTTTCGAACATTGCGGCTTTTTTCAGAAGATATGGAAAAAAAATTTATCTGTATTTTCAAATGATTTTTTTCACCCGGCAGAATATTCGAATAATCCATTGAATTCTTTGAAATTTTTTTATAAAGAGAATTGAATTGACCCATTGAATTTCGAGTCGGCTGAATTGTTCTATTAATTATCAATTACTCAATTAACTCAATTACTCAAAAAAAAAGAGAAATCAATTGAAAAATCATTAGTGAGCGATATTCTCCCAATTTTCTTAATTAGTTCGCGCTTCTCGTGATCATTCATCTTTGCCCGACACTTATTTCCACGGAAGTTGTCACGTTTCTACGATATTAATTGAGCAAACGTCATTATCGAAACATTCGTTTCTTACTCGTTGTTTCATTCACTAACAAGCAAAGAGTTGACTTGGAGGGACGTGCAGCACCTCATTGTGCAGACTTCGGAATACAGTCCATTAAGGTAAGAATTTTTTATGACGGTTTTTCCCTCTGGTACTCGACAGAGATTAATATTTAAATATTTCACCGCCGGGTCGAAAAATTCCACTGTGTTCTCAATTTTTTATTGCGTTTCGCCGTGGCGTCAGAGATTTTTTTTCAAGTTCTGGGGACAAAGGAAATTAATGGAAAATATTCCGAACTCAGGCATTTATCCGCCTCGGGGCCACGCAGTGCCTTTCCCCGCGTTGTTCAACCCTTTCTATCACAAGCTCATTACACACTCTATCGAGAGATCCCTTTGTGCGCGAAGTTTCACCCCGAGTTGCTCCTTCCGTCTTCACTAATTACGATAGTAGTGCTCCAAGTATACTGGAATTGAATTTTATTTCCTTCGCTTCGCGGAATGTGCTTGAATATTATCTGACGCGGAAAGCCCTGATAAGAAAAATTTATCACTCCCAAGAAAAAAATGCTCAACTCAACTCTATCCTAACAGCGAATTAAAAGTTTACTGGAAACTTAAAAAAAAAAATTGCAGAAAGCCGATTGCCCACAGAATTTCTTTTTTTTTTCACTTAATCGTTTTGATTAGAAAAAACATTGAAAAATTTGGACACAGTGTAATATTTCATTTCAGAGAAATCCGTTATAATCGGAATATAAAATAAATTCATTAAACATTTCTCAATCATAGAGTGAAACGGCTTTACCTGAAAATAAGAGATATTTTTTATCTGTGAGAGAATATTGCAAATTTATAGACCAAAAATAAAAAGCAGACGATTACAGTGGAAATCCAGGATGGCGGAAAAATTCCGCAGGCTTCTGGTTCAACCCGCGCTTCGGCTTTGGTCTGATGAATGCACATGGTCTGGTTACCGCCGCTCATAATTGGACCCGAGTACCCGAAAAAACCATATGCTTCATCAAATCGCAGTCCGGGTGAGTGCAAGTGAATGAAATATCACTGGGAATTGAGATGAAATCCTAACGACAGGAAATTTTTTAACTTTCAATCCAGACCGCTGAATTTATTTTACGGTGAAGCGGCGATTTTGAGATTCAATTCAAATGGATGCTCCAATGAGAATCGAGAAGTCATGTATTTAGAGCATGTACAAGTGGAAACCAGCATCAGATACACGAGCAGAGGTGCCCTGGAGATGCATCTGATATCACCAGCGGGTAAGAAATGCCCCTCCAAATTTATGAGGAGCTCCTCAAAATTATCTGTTAACCGAAACCGAAATATTAATTTCTCCATTTTCCTGATTCTTTCGTTTTTCGCCACGTGGCTGAACAAATCTATGCATTCGCCATTAACAACGACAATGAAAATTATTTATAAAAGAAATAATGAATTGTCACGCACTCGCAGGAACTAGAGTGAAAATTCTGACTCCTCGACGGTTGGATGATTCCACTGAGGGCTTCAAGAATTGGAAATTCATGTCGGTGGGAACCTGGGGGGAGGACCCCAGGGGCACCTGGAGGTTGGACATAATCGATCAGGTGAGTAAATTCGCGCAGTTCAAAATTTGACCGCCCCTCGTGAAAAAAAAACGCGAGTGAGATAATCCCGAGGTATTGATTGAAAATCGATTAATAATCGAGGTAAAATTGATTTTTTTAATTGTTCCACTGACTTGACGATAATTCTAACGATTTTCGGACAAGGTCGGCCCTATCTGGAACAATGGATCAATCCTGGACGTCACCCTCATCCTCCACGGGACAAAATTGTCCCCGGATTATCGTGGCAACAGCCCGCGAAATTACAACGACAATTACAACCGCGTCAGGAAGACGGTAATTCCATTATCAAATGCAAACACTCGTCAATTGACGTGTGCCAAATTAATTATCACGGTCCGGTTAATTGCCGGGGCTACAAAATGTCCATATCACCCGGTGTTTCATGTTTGCAGAATCGAGTCGTTGAAAAAACCGAGGAAAAAAAGAGAATGAGGAGTGGACTAACTGGTCACACCAACGAGATCAATCTCACTGAGCAAGTGGGTAACCTGGAGAGTCTCGTCTGGACTGATTGGCTACGTCGAATTTTATTTGATCGAAGGTAGTCGAATTAACCATGTGGAAGACCCCTCTTTACGATGAAGGTGAACAAAAATAATTTTAAAAACTGATGGGATGAATACGAGAAATTAGAAAATAACACATTATCACTTTATTGAATCAATCCCAACGTAAAAGTTGGCAAATTGGAGGGCCTTGCCGGAAATTATCAGCTACGTCTTCTCTTTCATTCAGCTGAAACTAATTGGATTTACTAGGACTGAAAGGCCTTGATGAACAAACAAAATTGGAAAGAAATTGAATGGACAGGAAATCGAGTTGAATTAAAATGGAATTTTACGAAAACAAAGTGGAATACCCGAATAAAAATGAGGAGAATGAAATGAAAATGAAATATTTAGAGCACTTCAAAAAGAAATGGTTTTACGATTAATTTTTACCAATGCCACATCCATCCTTATTTCATTAATAATTACACATTAATTATCGAGAAAAGATCAATTTTAAAGTATTTTCTCGCTGAAATTCGAAAATTCTAAATTTTTTAAAAAATATCAGGGGAGCATGAAAATCGAGGAGGCATTCCCTAAAATTCGAAAATTCGTAATTTTTGAAAAAATATCAGGGAAGCATGAAAAACGAGGAGGTATTCGCTGAAATTTGAAAATTCGAAATTTTTGAAAAAATATCAGGGGAGCATGAAAATCGAGGAGGTATTCGCTGAAACTGGAAAATTGAAATTTTTTGAAAAAGTATCAGGAGAACATGAAATTAAATTCAATCCTTTTTCGGACTAATATCAATATAAATACAATATTTTTCTTTCTCACACAAATCATTATTTTATTCAAATGGTATATTATATTGTACTATATGTATATATAGCTTAGCTATGCACCGAAAAAGGCTTACCAAAAACGTTACCTACTTTTTTTAAAAAGGGATTTACCCACGTGGTTGCGCCGGCGTAGTGGCGACGAAACCGGAGGAAAGCGATTCAGATTGTGACGGAGTGAGTTCAGTAGCATATCGTTTCTCGTTCCGTCGACTGCAACAATCCGCCCGGTTTTCACGTCCACCAACGAGAGCGGCATCTCGAACGCATTTAAAATCCCTGGAGATTTCCACCGGCTTCGAACGAATTTTAAATTTTGTGAAACCAGAGCTGCAAATTACCGCTGTGGAGTGAGTAGAATCCGATTTCATTCATTTCTCCGGGTTTTATTGCAGATGAATATTGGAATTGACGATTTTAGTCATGTCACGGGTTTAACGGGAAATTTCATCTCCAATTATTCTCGAGTTCGTCTCAATTTGGCAAATTGAACTGACGCGTCGGGAGTGGAATCACTTGTTCTCCTAATTTCTCGCGCCAAGGTAACAGCCAGATGCACTCAGATAAATAGCATAGAGCCTTCTAAGGGTTTTGATAGACACAATGATTTCCAATTGCATCCATTTGCTAAATCATTTGCATGGTTCACGTCATTACCGGTTTCATTGATTTTCAGGGCTTTTATTCGGCACTTCCAATTATTTCAAACGACTTCAGTAAAATTTAAAGAGAATTCTGCCTGGATTTTAGAAATGGCTTTTTCTTTTTAGGAAAAGCCTTAAATAAATCCATTAAATCCCTTGGATGGTGGAGCTTTTAATTCTAACTGAATTATTGCTTTAACATAACAACTTTTCCTAGAATCCACTGAAAATTCATCTGGAAATTCGCACGGGTAATTGGGATAACTCACTTAATTTAACGTTGAAGGTAATTAAGATCGAGAGTTTTTGTAGAATGAAGGAATTTCCAGCAGACGATAGATATTTTTTACTGCTAACTGAATTGTAAAAAGTGTCGTTCGACAGATCCTCGTAAAACCACGAATTCTTCTGAATTAATGGAGTCGTAAAATGCGATATGAAAAACCGTCTCTTGCATTTTGTTGAATGTAAATAGAGGAAGAGTAAGAGTCCATTTAAAAGAAAACGTCAATCGCATTTTAAAAATTCTGTAAATGGAATCAATTGAATTTTGCCATCGAAATGTCCGAATTCGTGAAAAGCGAACAGTCAAAATCCTACCACAGGCCTGACAGAACTCTCGGTTTTCCACTTTTCTGTCGGTCCGTAGAGGAAATGAGTTGTGAAGTAACAGAACGCAATACGAATTGATTTTCCATGTTCTGCATTGTCTGGTAATACCCTTTGACAATTTCTCATAAAACTACATGGTCTTCTGAACTAATCTATACCACCAGTCGTAAAATGCGACATAGAAAGGGAGAAACAATAAATTTCTACGACCACGTTAATCCCCGCAAGTTTTTTCTCTCGAAATGACGAACCATCTCAAAAGATTCCGACAAATCGGATTTTTTACGTCCAAGAATCAATTAATTTCCCAAGAATTTCCGATTCACTCGATTCCACTCATTCGATTCCGTGACAATTAAAATGAATGAAAAAAATGAAAAAAAATTAATTAACAGCAAGCAGGATATTTTACCAAAAAATATTGAACCGTTTTGGTGGCTCGAAAAAATGGGATCAATCGGCTTTAATTATGAAAAAATCTAAATTTAAGAGAAACGATCAACAAGAGTAAGAGTTTAGCTGGCGCGATGTTGTCCGAAAGCAATTGATCAATCATTCATTGCCCCCCATTATTCTTAGACGGGCGACAATTTGAGATATTGTCCCTATCAATTTAAAACACTCCGGAAAACCGACGACTCCACAGTGATCGAACATCCGACCCCTCATGCCGTACCTCATGCAATTTCAATTGTAATAATTTTTTTAGAGAGAGAGTACAGAGGATTGGGGCTGAGAGGGGCTGAACGCCAGGTGAGAGAAAAGAATTGGTCGGGAATTACATCGGGAATATAAGAGTGCAAAGTACCTATGGATTATTAAATGGGGTCAATGGGGCCCCCGAGTGGAGTCTCAACTCCGTGGAAAGACGAAGAAAATAGCTGAGACCAGGGCAACTCGAGAGTTCCAACAATTTCTTCAATCCGGGAGTTCATTTTTTTCTTCATCCTCTCGTCCTTTTTTTCAACTTTCCCCCGGAACTAACGAGATTGCACACACGATGTGGACTCACTTTTCAGGACGGTATTTTTAGAGCTTCAAAAGATGGAAACATAGCGGAAGGGGTGGATAAACACAGCTACTCTGATAATTAACCATTTTTTGTAAGTAAAAAAAATTGAACTCATGTCGAGATTAATTGCGGATGAATTACACTGACAAACAGAAATTTCTACGTTCGAGTGGTGGAATTGCGGGATTAAATACCAGCTTCATTATTCTCTGAAAATTGATATAAAACGGTAATTGGGGAAATATGCTTTGAGTATTTTTTATTTTTTATTCCGAATATTCATATTTCAGTGAAAATTTAAATAAATTTGGTTTCACTGAATTGTCAGTTCAAATAACTTCATCAAATGCTATTCTAAATACGACAGGAAGATCGAATGCGAAAACTATCGATATCGTCGTCCTAGGCGGATAATTTGAATTCAGGGTTCATTGAGTTTTGAGATTTTCAATTCTAATTTTTACGATTCAAGCGCGCACTCGGTTCATTTGTATCAGCGGAGTAATTAGCATAAGTTTGGATGACATTTTAATGAATAGAACTGTAACTTTGTACCGAGATCTTTCCAGTCATGAGGGGATTTGCAAGGGGCGGTGGGGGCTCGGAGCTGTTCGAGGGTTTATCTTGTGCTAGAGTTTCTCGTGTCTGAATCTCACATTATGAACCCAGTATATTTGCTTTTCAACTTTCTCCACGTGAGAATCGAGAAGGTACAGGTCGAGGGTTCATATTACATCGAGGACGAACCCTTATTTACGTGGTGAGTGTCTCGTTAGCTCGGAGTGCCCAGAACGCCACCGGAGAATTTCATTAAGACTGTTTATGAATCTCTCAGGTAATTGTAACTCAGCCCTACGAACTTCCTCGGTTTTGTCGCTCCACCTCCGTAAATACTAATTCCATGATAAACTCGGTTTTATTGCCGCCATAATCTTAACGCCAGAAGTTTTCCATCTCAAAGTCAAAACTTCCAAGAATCCACTTGTTCTGTTGGCATTTAGAATAATTTCAGATTAAAATAACCGCTCATCAGCTTGGAAATTAATTGATGGATTAATTGATTGTATGAAATGAAAACGCAAATAATTCGTAAAATTCCATCGATTTTCACTACCAAAAAATCCTAACATTTCCAAAAAATAAAAAACCTGACTCCTCAAATCCATCGATAATGCAAGACAATTTAAAATCGTGGGAATCGTTAACTCCCAAATTTCCAAATCCAACAGATCAACTAATCCCTCAGATACCCAACAACAAATTGAATCAATAGTGCATGCACACCTGAAGGAAACCTTCAAAAGACCCACAAGTGCACTACTAAATGGGAATAGTTAAGTTGCCACAACCACAGAAGTAGAGTGCCCTCATACACCATTGAATCGAGTAAAAGTTGCTCGAGTTAATTCCAGAAAATGCTCAACATGCGGCGAAATACTTCAACATATTCTCGCAATTAACCTCAACCCACTGTAATTACCCAGAGCTCTTCGATTTCTTTCGTTGAATGCAACACGACGAGAATAACATCTTATTTTCTGCTCCAAGAGGCATTCGAGGTCGGGTCAATCCACCAGTGCAGGATGAAAACTCTTCACTCTACGTAAGAAGTGGAAGCAAAGGATGTGACGAGGCCGTCGAATAATGGAAGCAGATCGGATAGCAGTGGAAAAAATGAAGTTGAAAAAGGGAGTAATGAAAGAAAAAAAAAAGTCAATGTAATCTCTATGAGGAGCCGGATCCATCTTTATTCCGGAGTTAACTGTAACCCTTCCTATTTGTTTGCCACTCAAGAGAGGATTTATACTCTCATCTTTGCATTGGGAGAGGATATTTCATCGCCATCGTGCCACTGCCATTAAATCCCGAAGAGGAGCATAAAGTGCCCTGTTATATATTTTTTACCGCGGGTTTCTATTGCCACTTTTCTTTCCGCCGTTGGAGGAAATAAATTGGCCATTCAACGTGAGAGATATCATTCTGTTATAAAAATATTGGACTCTCGCATTTTATTTTCCCATCAAAAGGAAAAATTTTCGTATTCAGTGTTGATAATAAAGGAGAGATCGAATTGTCGTCGTCACGAAAATAGAGACAAATTTTATTGAGCCTTCGGTGATTTTTCAGAGGGGGAAATACTCTATGGGTTGTTCGAGCTGTTTCTATTTATTCAATCGAATATATTGTTGACTCGCATGGGTATTCATACGCAGGTCGAGAGAACAAAAAGATTCAATAGTGAAGAGAAAATCGAGAATCGAAAACAGTGATTCCAATGAAATGTCAATAGCATTTTTCCACTGCTCTGCCTTCAATATTATGGCTGATCTCTTTTCAGACTTCAATGCTGTACGGAATCAAACCATTTTTCCTTTTCAGAAAGTTTTCAATTTTCAGTGACATGGGCGTTTCAATTTTGAAAAATCAAGAGAAAATTTCCAATAATTTTAATTGTCCTAAAAAAATGAATGAATTAATTGATTTTTATGGGAACGTTCTAAAAATCTAGTACCAGTGTGTAAATTTCAGGATAAATTTCTCTGAGATATTCAATTAGCGGATGTTATTTACGAATGATGAAGATCACTTTCCACGCAATTCGATATTGACTAACACGATACAATGTAAAGGCAGGTGTGTAAACCGTGTAACGAGATATTCGTGACGATTTCATTGATTTTGGTGGATAGGGTGATAGGACAAGTGTAACTGAGCGTCGGTTAATCAGTTGTGTTTATCCACAGCTGATGCAGGAATTCGCGATAATGAGACCGAGTGACAGGACCACCAATTGGTGGTTGTTTCACTCGTGGCAGACCCTTTGGCAAATTCGTGTGAACACCATTCACGATTCGTGACCGCATTTTTGGGGTCAAGTCCATTGCATCCTCTCGTTGCGTCAATAGACATTTGTAAACAGCAAGATCCTCTGTCTGGGGTTTCGCATTGACAAAGGATCGACAGCTCGTGGAGACGAGGGTTGGGAGGGATACGTAATATAACTGAGAATGGATGATGCTACGGTTGAGTCTCGGTAATTGGGTCGATAACGATACATTATACTGAGTATCCTGGATTGGTTATTGATGCGTATGCCATTTCGAATATGTGGGGATAACAATATGGTGGAATCACGAGGGGTGAACAATTTATTGACCGCCCACTCCGAAAATAATATACCTGTTTTCGGGGAATCGAGAGGCCAACGGTGAAATTATTCCGAGAGTGAATATCAATTAAAATTATATAACTCCTTCACAATCTGCGAGTTCAAATCAACTTCATTATAAATATTATGCACTGACTCGGATTTTTAATCGTGCATTTCCAGCAGAAATTCGGGGAATAACATTTTTATTCATGTTTTAAACCATTTGCATTTCCAGAAATTTTTATATTCATTTTTCATCTCATTTTAAAAATGTTTTTCCGGACACCTCTGACTTGCGTAATTTTTTTTATTGAAATTAAATGTACGAATTGCTCAAGCCTGAAATTCCATTTGTATCCGATGGTGAGGTGAAAGAATTGGGTTAGTAGAAATGTCATTCGGAATTCTCCCTGCAATTTCTCAGCATTCCCTTTAATTTCACGACACGAATAGACCCTTCATCCCCGAATGACACAGGGTGATACAGACAGAACCCGAGAGACGTGTGATATACCACACTCTAATTTTAGCCCAAAAGAATGAAGCCAATAATGAGAAACCCAATTCGCCCTCGAATATTCGCACAACCCTAAAATTCATCATCGATAGGAGGACGATCCGGTGCACCTGCACCAGACCCTCGTAACTCTTCCCTGAGAGTAACCGATTCAGTTATGCCCCGGCAGGACATAAATTTCAACTTCGTTATTAATTACACATTCGTGAAATTTTCGATCTGACAAAGGACCTCTCCCACTCCCAATTTCGATTCCATCGACTCTATCGATTCAACGTACACTGTCTGACTATTCACGACCCCTTCTACTTCGCAAGAGAACCTCCGACTCTCGGTTTTGTTATTCAACAGCTCGTAATTTCATCCGTAATTTCATTTTCGCAGCAGAGATATGTCAAAGAATGGAGGAAAAATTGTAATTGCATTGCCTAGATTTCCGGGAAACCCTTTAGTAAGTCTAGCGTCAATGCCTGTGGGCTTTTTCGGCGATGGCATCAGTTAAATGGTTTAAACTCGATGAATTCAGTTCGCTGGAAATTCTATGGGAAAAAAATTTCTGAATAATTCTTGTGCTAGTGCGGGAAAAGTTGCATTTTTTTACAAGTTCCTGGGAATGAAAAAATTCATTCAAATTCATTGGAATTAATTTTTACATTCAGGAAGTAGCCAGATATCTCACTTTTATTTTCTCTCTTGAAAATATGGAACTTCAGGGTGGGAATATAATTCCGTTAATCGACTCGTTCTTAATTAGGAGTTATTGAGCTGTTCAGTGGAATTCTTAATTGGCGTTCGTTTCTCGCGCTTGAGTTGAGGCTCGAGGAATCCGGAATTTTTTATTTTTCCAGGATTGGGAGTCCTTGGGGTCTCGATAAAAATTAAAAAACCTCCCAATTCCTGGTAATTAATTTTACAGGTGCCCAGAAATAAAATAATCGAGTGGATGTCACGAATAGACAGGGAGAAATGTCCGATCTCACGAGGTCGAGCGCGACGAAAGTGAAAATCCCGCCGCCCCTCAATCTTCATCCAGAAAATCAAGACGACGATACGTTTAACCCGAAGACTGCTCGAAGTGAGTTAAAAAATGAATAGCACCATTTGTTATTCCATCCATCAAAATTCATTCTACTTTAACAAATATATTTTACCCGAAATGAATAAAATTTGGAAAAATTAATATTTCCTTTTACTTTCAAAAATTTTGCTACCTTTTATTCGTGGAAATACGCCTGGAGAATCACCTGCGGCGGGTGAAAAGTGAAATATTCCATCAGCGAAAATATCATTCTTTTCAGTATTGAAGAACGATCTATTGTTGCACGAGGCTGTCATCAAAAACGAGCCAGAGACAGTGAGAAAAGTTCTCCAAGAAACAGTAGCAGTCGATTCCCGTAACAACGTGAGTTGAATTTCAAATAAACCCATTTTTCCCGGGCTCTCGGGTTTCCCTGCACCTCAACAATATTTCCATGGATTTCTCCGGGGAGTCCAATGAATGACTCCAGCGAAATTCTTGCATGCATGTCAGGATGTACGCAAAATAAATAGGTCGCCAGTACATTGGAAGACAGATTAGCATATCCTAGTATCAGAGATTTGGAGATTTTACGCGTCGTCACGTACTGGAGAGATTTTATCATTAAAACCGTCTTTATTTTTCCTTATTTTTTCGACCGAAAATTCAGTATGGAAGAGCACCGATCCATTGGGCGGCCTCCAGGGGTAACACTGAGATCATTGAAATGCTCATCCAGGCGAAATGTAATATCGAGGCGAGAGATAAGGTGAGATATCATGGATTTTTTTTCAATCAATTCACCCAAGTGTTTACGTAGATATTGATTTTTCTGTTCTGTACGTGTGATATTTTGATTTTGTGTTATTATTACCTCATGATATTTTAAATAATTATTAATATAATTTTTGCACTGTGCTATTTTTATTATGATTTTTTTTCAGTAACATTATTATTGTGAATTCCCGAGTAAAAAAAAAATTGTCATCGGAATATTTTTTCCAAATTTTCAAAACATTTCTGGAAAACTTTTCGGAAAATTTTTCTTTTGGAACAAAAAAAATGGGGAAGCAAAACAATTTTATTTTTGGGAAATGTTTTGAAAAATTTTTCAAAAACTTTCGCAAAACTAAAATTGCTGTTTTCCATAAACATAATTTTCAATCCTGCATGAATTTACTGGAATCCCCTGAACTATTCGAATAGATTAATCAGTCTCTCGTGGGGATTCACAGTTCGAGATGCGGCCACTCCATATGGCAGCCTGGTATGGACATCTAGAGGCTGTCAGGATGCTCATCGACGCGGGCGCAAGTGTCACAGCTGTCAATAAAGTATGACGACCCCTTAATCACTGAAATCAATATTAATTGTTCCCCGAAGAGAAAGAGAGCTCCTATCCTCCTCACCAAATATCAATCCATAAACTCTGCCGAAGAATTTTCACCTCCAATACCTCAAATAATAATTTCACCTCATAAACCGTCGGTGTTCAATACCGATGAGAAATTCTCAGCTCTCGTGTGACAATAAAAAAATGAAATTGCGGTGAAAAATTTGGTATTACAAGCCGATAAAATCGTATACCATCAAATAAAAAATATATATTCGAGGCTTGAGGTGGATCATAAAATTGCGAGATAAATTCGTGCCTCGGCTGAATATCGATTTGACGATATGATATACAGCGGGGAATATCACTTCTCCGAGGCTTGCGTATGGAAGTAACATATGTTACAAGGTATTACCATTGCGGAGAGCCCGGTAATTCGACATATAGTACACGGGTCCTCAGCATTTGCCCCACCCCCTCCATGAGGATCACCCATTGAATTTCTCATCATTCAGAAGTTAAAGCTCTTCAGTAATGAACGTCGACTCGATTTTTGCCGTCTGTTCTCTCATTATAAATGGATAAAAATAATTCCAATCGATTCGGAGGACATTTTGATCTTTGGAGTAATTCGGGGTAAACTGAAAAAAAAATGGAAAATTATTCAATACCTAAAAACCCTCCAGACCTTCAGTTTCTTTTCCTGCGTTAATCCTAATATTTTCTAAAGAGATTTCACTCCTTGAAAATTTTTCTACTGCACATCCCGAACTTCAAAACTCATCTCCGACAGCCGACGACTGAATTCCATGAACTTTTCATCGAAATTGCTTCTGTCTGCAGAAAAAATTTACGCTTTTGATGTGCGCATCCCGTGGGAACAACCCCGGTGTAATTGAATATTTAACTGAAGCCGTGAAGACCCTGGATGTACCTGCCATCGACTGCACAGGTGCAGCTGCTCTGCATCATGCCGCTGTTTCAGGGAATCCAGGTGTCATCGCAGCACTCGCAAAAATACCGGAAATTAAACTGGACGTTACCGATAAAGTAAATAATAATCAATCCATATTCTCGAAAAAATCTCCATTTCTTCGACAGAATTCTCCACAATTGATGAATATTACATGCAGTGGGAGATATGAAATTTTTTATAGAAATCTTTTTTGTTGCACAACTTTCCAAAAAATTTTCAGACAAAGATCTCGATATCGCGCCGCTATCCCGAGATATCGGTGGATAATTCAAATGCGTAGAAATCGGATTGAACCGGTTGAACAGTTTGGCGTGAAAATTTATTTCTGTGGGTGAAAATTAATTCTTCATTATTTAGAAACAACAAACACCATTGCACTATTCCTGCGCTGAGGGCCACGGCGAGGGAGTAGAAATTCTCATCAAACTCGGTGCAAACTTAAACAGTCAGGACAAGGACGGAAACACTCCACTTCATGTAGCAACGGGAATGCGTTACACGGGAATAGCCCAGACTCTATTAAAATCCAATGCTAACGTTGAGATAGGTGATGACACTGGGCTAACAGCTCTACATGTTGCTGCGAGTCAGGGCTGCAAGGGTATATTGGAGCTCATCCTCCAGCACAGCAGCATCACCAATAAACAGTGCAATGTAAGCCAAACGTTTATGTCCTCCATTTCACGGAATAACGAGCAGATCCTCAAATCTTGTTAAATCCAAAACAATCATCAAATAGAAATTACAAGAATACAACGCAAATCATCCCTTTCCTTTTTTTACAAATATCTAAAGTTTTTCTATTTTTTAAAATGATGAGAGTTTCGGAAAAACGGATCACCAATTTCGGGGTAAAATTCACGCTTGAAACTTTGAAATTCAAAATAAATTCTCGCTTCAGTAATTAGTACCGATTTTTTTTTTTTTTTTGATTCTCCGTGAATAATTGGGAATGCGGTACGTTTTTACCGAGTGTATATCTTCCCGAACAGTTTGTAATTTATTTTTCTGATTTTCGAGGCTGGGAACACCCCCCTGCACCTCGCATGCCAGAATAATCAAGTGGACACGGTGGAAATACTGATAAAACATGGGGCTGATCTGAATTCCCTCAACTCGGTAAGTGAATGAGAAAGGGCACGGAGAGTTAGAAAAAAAATCGTGAAATGTGGCATGTGCAGTGGGAATGGGCGAGGAAATAATGGAATTTTCCTGCGCTGGGATTTTCTATTTAATTTTTGCAAGCACAGAGGGGAAATCGGTAGCGTTTTTCATGGCAAACGGAGACCTTTTGACCTGAGATTCCATTTTCAGAAACTCCAAACTCCGATACACATTGCAGCTGAAATGGGTCACACGGATGTCTGCAAACTCCTGCTTGCTGCCGGAGTTAACATCGAACAGAGGGAAAAAGTAAACGATTATTTTCTCGCATTATGTGATTCTCTAATTAACTTGATACTGATTTTTTTCTTGGGAATCGTTGATTCCAGAGTGGAAAAACACCTTTGTATATCGCTGCCGGAGGTAGTTTCACTGCGATTGTAGATATGATTATCAAAACAGCGAGATTGGAATATTTGGTGAGAAATTTCTACAAAAATCCATCGTAAAACCGAATGGGAGACATTCTGCGAATTAAATTACTCAAATGAATAAAAAATTATTTCATCGAAATTCGAGAAAAATGAATGATCCAGAGAATACCTTTTCATTTTTCATTTCACTTTAAACTCTAAATATTTGTCTTGAATTTGCGATGATTTAACGTAGAGAAAAGTTTTATCCCGATTTGACCTGAATTTTTTGCAAACGTTTGGGGATATCTGGAGTTCAAGTTATGGTATATGGTTCAGGAGGATCAGGGCACGGAGAAGAACAGGGATGTGATCCCCGTGAGTAGGCGATGGCGAGAGGAAGCGAGAAGAAGTACTGTATCTGGTGTGTACAGTGGGGGAATTACCGATCATGTGCGCAATATTCTCCGGAGACTGGCTTACAAGCAACTCGGTGCTGGGGACTGGAGGAAACTCGCACTCCACTGGGCATTTACCCATGATCACATACACGCCATTGAGCAACAGTACACTGGTGAGTAAATGGCCTCGTTATCCTTGGGGGCTTTGATGAGGACATCATGAAAGCATCGATTTATGACTGGCATTTACCTGACGATTTTTTTTCCTGTACGTTATTTCAAGGGTCTTCGAGCTACAAAGAGCACGGCTATAGGATGCTCATGATATGGGCCTCTGGACTCAGCCCTGAGCTCCATTTAAGCAAGGAATTGCACGAAGCACTTTTGGCTATCGATAAAAAAAATGTCGCTGGTAAACATTATCTATTAAATATTTACTGAGATCAATACTTTGGAAATATTCTCGTGGTATTTCATCCGCAGAGGAAGCTCATATTTTTTTTTATGGCTTATATATATTGATTATATTTGAAAATGACATGTAGAATAATTGAATCCTAAATATTTGGAAAATTCTTATCTGATCAGTTAATATTTTAAAATTCAAGATAAAGTTCAAAAACATCTGGATCAAGAGGATGACGACAAAAGCAATAAACAACGTTGCCACAGGTGCACAGTCACGTGAATCCCTCCATCGAGACTGAACAAATATAAACAATTTTTTTACTGTTTAGAAATAACGCTGATACAACCTATGGAGAAAACAAACGCTTATAGCAAGAGTCATGAAAGTGAATAATGTACATATCTGGTAAATGTGATAACTCGAATAAACGTATTTAATTTGAGGGATAACTCAATGTAACACTAATAACTGAATGTTATTAAAAATGTAAAGATTTATTAATCCGTTGTAATTCTCTCCTCCAATTCTATCAAATAGATAACCGACGCTTTCATCTCGTGTAACAAAAATATGGATAATTGTTCAATTGTATTTATACCCGGTTGTCCTCGTCATCACACGGGACGAGATTAATTTTAGAAAAATGACGAGTGCAATTGAATTCTCTTACGTCGTACCTAGCATTTACTACGTACGATCGATTAACCCCTGGTCCGATTTAATGTCGTATCCAACGACATTCAAAATGAAAATTAATATATTATTTATGATATTCGCAATGCTACAGAGTCCATGAGAATCCAAAACTCCAGCGAACGTGAAAAAATTAAACTTCTTCAAAATAAAACCCAACAAAAATATCGAATTCAATAGCGAGGATTTAAAGGGAACACATCGATTTATTCCCAAATCCAATTTTTCAGGAATATCTCAAAATCTAACAGAGATAGCGAAAATCTTCTCGAAGCCTTTTCTGCGGAGTAAAATGAGGACTTGGAAAAAGGTCCTGACAACAATCTCGCTATCTCCCTGCAATTCAATGATATCCCTCAAAAACTTCATGATGTAAATCGACTTATTACAATTTCCCTCTTCGCTTTTGAATTAACACCTCCAACGCTCCCCAATTAATTGTCTTCTTTCTTCATGGAAGAACCGATGGAGAAATGAAATATTAAAAAAATGTAGGAGCTAGTGGAAGCGATCACCGGGACAACGGCCCTTGCGTTGAATAATACCTGGTTACATCGGCAATATGTGAAACATTAAATTTAACGAGTTGAATGAATTTGTGTGCAGAACAAAATCCTGGAGTTCTTCTGGCGCGCATTCTGCTGCTCTTGAGTTATTGAACTTCCTTAATAAATACAGAAACTCTTTGTTCTCTTTAATATTCTCCTGGGTCTGCCAACCGAAGGTACAACTCCTAACGATTGTACGGGTGATACTTGTTGGCACTATTTGATGACGTAGAATATCCCCGTTGGGGTCCACCAGCGTAGCTGTCACTGGTGGATGATACCACCGGGATGATGGTGTGATTCGAGGATCCATATCGCTGTCCGCCTGTTAGAACCGTATAAAATAATCGTGATGCTTAATCTATATATAATCTACGGTGATAAACTTGAGGATCGAGGATGCAACGCCAGCATTGAATCCAGAGGTGTTAAATTATGTTTTTTAATTCGTCCACTCGATTCGTATTGACAATAGTATTATGTAAAATTTCATAGAATATTAAAATATTAATAATCGTAATTAATTTCCCTTAATTTTATAAAGCCTCTATTATCGTTTCTTCTAGACTTATTACTCCTTAAATTGAAGGGGGGAAATCACGCAAAGTTACGTCTACAAAATAACAAATTCTAGAAAAGAAAAATTTTTTACTTTCAACAGTCAAAAAATAGTGCTGGAGCGCTTGTTATTTTTTCTCCTCTGCACACACGTCGCGATGGGGAGGAAAAAAAATCTTCACACTTGTTCCGCTCTTTTGTGCCGTCGTTAAAGCTCTTTTTTGTGTTTGGACCTGGTTTTTCACACCCTCTCTCTTTTTTTATTCCGCTTCGTTTTTTATTTTCTCTATTTTCCAGTGACATTCCTCTGTTTTCAACGCCTAGCGTCTATAGGGATGGTAATTTGAGTGATGGGATAGGGAGAAACGCTGAGGACCCGGTGCATCTCCATTTGATACGAGTGTCAGACTTCCGGTCTCGGTTTTGAATTTTGGTGGATGAATGGGAACTGAAAGGAGGAACAAAAGGCATAATGGGTGTGAGGATTAATGGAAGTCCCTGATATTAATTGCATTCATTAGTCTACTTGAATCAGAGTGATTCAATCTTATGATAATTGCAGCTTGAGACTGTTTGACGGAGCATAAAACACTGCACTCATCCATTTTCCTTTGACTCCCTCGAAAGAAAAAAAAAATCCTTTTGAAAAAGAAAAAGAAAAAGTGGACCACCTCGATGGCTTTTCTCGGGCGTCAAAAAAAAAATTGAAAGAGAAATACAAAGTATCAAAAACGGAACTTCTCACTTTTTTTTTTGCAATTTGTTCCTTTCTCACCTTTTTCCCCAGGAAAACAATGACATGTATGAGCGAATTGTGAAAAACAGAAGCGACAAAAAGAAAGCAGAAGGTTGACATACGACTTTTTTTCCCCCCTTCATTATCGAAATATCGGAATATTAAATATTCTTGTTCAAAGAATTTCTCTAATTTATTTCATGAGAGCCATTTCCCCCGAATCTTTCAATCCCCGACAAGCACTCACTCATTCATTTCACTAATTACGATTCATTCAGTGGTCAATTGACTATTTTCATATAATGAATGAGGATAATTTATGATTTATACTGCAGTCACACAGTAAAAGAAAATTACTGAATTTTCCGGAAAATCATCTAGAATTCGACAAAAGACTTGAAAAAAAAAAATTGGAAATTTCTCTGAATTTCCAAGGAATAAATAAATCAATGGAATTTTAAACCGAATGTCACACAGCATCCATTCATTTTTATAGCGCCGCCAATTTTTCCACGAAAAGTACGGACTTATGAGGACCCCTGAAATATCACCAGAAGGTCTTCAACATTGTGAAAATCTCTAAACATTAATTAATACAAGCGTTGGGAAGCTGTGCAGTGTTTTAAAGCTAAATCAAGAGGTATGAACTGGTAAAAACAGGAATGTAACAAAAACTCTATAGGAAATAATTCGATTCTTAACGAAATATCTTAATTACGTTAGAGGATGCAAGGAGCCAGTCGTGATGGATTAACAACGGCAGTTACTCCAATATTTATAATTTTTTTTTTCATCTGTATTTTACTCAATATTTTCATTTTCTATTCAATAATTCCTCGTAAGCTATATCAGTATGCACTTTACGAATAATGATTTCTTCATGTCTTCTATGTTATTATTACAGCTAGTAATATTCATACTCAACTTATCACCTTTACATCGTTATATACCAATTATTATATCGTTAATATGATTATAGATAATATTATTCTCTTAAGTATCGATTAATCAATTAATCCACTAGAAACACCGTTAAGTATTTTATTAATATAATAGATCTGCATATATTTATTCTCTTAGTTTTTCTTTACTGCTTGATGGTATCAATAGGTGTGGATTGTTTATTTAATAGTAAATAGGTAGTATAGCTCGCCCTCTTCGATTAAAAGTAAATGAAGGAACAGTAGATGTAATAGTACTGGTTCTGGTGGTGTCATCGGTACTAGGGGGAAGAATTGTCAAATTTTTTTGGGACCAGTTGTGGTTTATTTCTCGGATTAATTATTGTGATTGCCCTTCCCCCCGCGCTGACTGCCTTTTCTCTCTTTGTTTAATGAATAATCAATAGTGCGGATGATAATTACTCCAATTTTAATTCAATGTGGAGAAAAAATAATTGAGCCGCTCTTGTTTGGAAATACTGCCGCAGACGTTCATGCCTCATTTTTAAAGTTTTCCCTCTTTAATTATTAAACTAACGAATTATTTTATGATTTCATTATATATTACTTGTTTGTTTTTTTTTTCATTCTTGTTTTACTTCCTATGCACTATTACGTGATAATAACGTAGTCAATACTCTCTCTGTTTAAAATCCTTATTTAGACTTTGCGTGCCATCGGCTTAATAATCCATTTTTAAGTTTTCATCATTTACTTATAGTTTTCATAATTAAATTTACGTTAAAATTCGAGGTTTCATTATTCACTTCATTTTAATTCTTGGTTTTTACCGGTAGAAAAATTATTCAAATGCTTAACAGCTGGCTTAAACAAATTCCCCGTCTGATTAACCCGTTCCAATATCCCAGACACTCATTACCACAATCATTCACATCATTCACTCGGTTTTTTTTTTATTTCTCGGCTTTGCGTATCGCTCCCCAACCCCTTACGAACAAATTAATTTACAACGACTAAACGACGACTTAGATAAATCCATTTTTCTTCCTTGAGTTTTTCCATCTTCTTTTAATAATTACTGATTAATTATGATTCTCACAAGAACACAATGATTGGCATTTGTCGGCATTTACTTTTTTGTTTAAAAAATATTACTTTGTTTTTTTTTTACCACATTCTAATCCCTTAATACTCCTACTTAACTGCCTTATGTCGAGGATTTTTGTTTTATTCTCTTTCATTTTTATTTTCACCGTTAGAAGTTAGTAATGAATTACTTAATAATTGATAGATTAATCAATGACAGTCAACTTGATATTATTTTCTTTAATTCTACATCTGTTCTTTTCAAAACACCCACCCACCCCCTGTCCCCTGATCTACATGACGTTCTTAAACCCAACTTTCAAGTTTCCTTATAACTCCCATTAACGAGGAACACTATATATTTTTGCGCTTAATTTTTAATTAAAAACGAGACAATTGATTCATTTCGATCTCCCCTCTCACCACCCCCCCTTCCATGAGTTAACATTTGTATTAAGGTACTTCTCCTGCGATAAGTCAGTAATTTATAATACATTTGTACAAAAACTTATCGTCTCTTAATCAATAATTTGTCGATTCATCTATAACGTTGTTATTTTTAAAATTTCCCTCATGGTTTGAAGAATCATTCGTTATCATTTATATCTCCATTCACGCACTTTTCACACCACTCTAAATTTCTCTTCAGCTTCTTCTCTGATTCAATAAAATATGAAAATGAACACTTGAGGGCCTGACAACTCAACTAAATCAAAAAAAAATCAACGAATGAAAGGGTAATGATTGCTTTTCGTACTCTTTAATTCATACAAAAAAAAAACACCCCAGCCAATCATAACGGATCACAGGGTTGGCCGCTTATATTCCTAGCCTTAGGCGGAGGTAACAATTATCTATTTTTCCTCGTCTTAGTAAACTAGACCGTTTAGTTATTTCTCATGCATTTAAAATAGCCTTCAAATCGATTAATAGTAAATAACGCGAGTTAATGGATACAGTCCCCTTTTTGCTTGTGGTTTCATTTGAAAATAACGAAAAAAACAGGTAAATTACATCTAAAATGTCACTCGAATTGATAAAATTAAGTTTACGAGAGTCAGCGAGACTCGGTAATTCGTTTATTGAAAAATATTAACACGGATCATTGGAGATAATTGCAACCAAAGATATATCTCGATCCTTTTCCCTAAGAGTCATAATGTAGTAATTATAATGATAATTGCAGCTGTAGTTTGACACGTTGTTTCATATTTCATTTTTCTATTAGACTTTTTTCTCATCTCGCATCACTTTTTTTTTATCCTAAAAATCCGAGAGTGCAGCGGCAATATTTCCAAGTATTTGGGCGATTTGTCGAGAGAAAGGCGAAAACATTTCTACAACTACTGTAAAATATCTTATTGTAGTACAGTCAAATCGTCAATTTGTTGTTTATCGGTTGCTTGGGGGTCATGTCTGTCCCAGTGATTGAACAAATAATCGTCAGACTCTAGACACCTTAGACGCGAGATGATGACACATCTGGCTAACGTGTTATTACGTGTAATGACTTTTCCCTCTCGTGTAGAAAATAATGCAAATTCTCTGCCAAACGAGGCATTATCAACTACAACTTTATGTTTTAATGTTATCAATACGCACGGTTAATATTATAGTCATATTTACCCAGGGCTTACATCTTAAATGCAACGGTCAAACCTATCTTAATTATTTCATTTTTCATTTCCATGTTGATTAACGGAGTACCAGACAAATATGATTTTTACATACTTTTGTTAAATTTTCTCCATCAACCTCATCAACACTCGTAACAATAAGCTAATAAGTTTCATCGTTTCTCCACTGATAATTTTTGTTAAAACATAATTCCTAGGTTCTTAACTCCGACGTTAGTCATTATCAATTAAGGCTTGGTTTATCCTCTGTTTTTTATTTTCGTTTTTATTTCACAATAGTTCTACCTTAACCCAGGACCAGCGTGAGCCGTTGGTTTTTTTTTCCATTACTAGTCTTTGTTTCACCATTTTTTTTTTCATTAAATTCCTATGATTAACTATGATTTCATTAGATATCGTAGAAGGGTCCCGTCTGACTTAATTGAAGAATTGAGAATTGAGACGCGTGGCGCAGGCAAGAACGTACATTACTTCTAATGTATAATGAATCAAGTTTGAAACATCTTCGATTTTTTGGAATTTTTCCATCGACGGCTCGCGCAGTCACAGCCACCGCGAGATTAAATCCATGAAATAATAGTAATCGATGATCAATGAGTCTCATTCACTCTCTCACTGCTCTTTCGTCCCCTTATTTTAAACTCTCTTAGATTTAATCAACACTTGTCACTGTGATAGTCCTAATTCCATGAAAAACTCTGTCACACGATAAACGAAAAACATTTCACCGATTGATAATCAACACTAGCATTAATGAGGTATATCATTCAAAAAATGCTTATGAATTATGAACGCAAGTGAAGATATGAGGACGCGTGCCTCCTCAACTTTCATTACCTATTTACGCACTAGTGTTTCATAATTTTCGTTTTAATCAGTGAAACTATAGGAGAGCAGTCGTGACAAGCGGAGACGCGAATAATTGCTTAATAATAAAATCGAGCAATTATCCGTTCATGTCCCATACAAGTCCTTACTTATTATGTATAATAAATAACGTAATAATTAGTGAACCTGATGCGATAGCTGCGACAGATCGAGCGTTGACGTTGGCTCTGACAATAATAAATGAGATTTATTTAATTTA